GCAGTTTCCCTCAGCACTACAACTCTCTGCTGCAGCCACTCACCTCCTCTCTCCACGTCTGCTCGTCTCATCGTGATCCATACCCTCACCAGCTCTTGCCTCTTTCATAGCTTTCTGCTCTTTGAACTTGGCTCATGTTTTTTGTGATACTGTTTGTCATTGTATTTCTTTATATCTCTGTTAAAATAATGCACATTTAAAAACCCAAGGCTATGTGTTAGTAAAACTGATAAATATTGAGTTGGCCACTGGCCTTGATACCTGGTGACTGTTTCCAGTTTGAGCTGGAGCCAGTTGTAATTCTGGCTATTCTGTACCTGTTTATGCATTTTGACCCAGTTTCACCCCTGGGGTAAGACTTTCTCTCAGGCTGCTTACAAATCCTGTCTCCTTCAACAGAACTGGCAGCTGTTGACCATAACAATCTCAAACATAAAGTGATTTATACCAGTAATGTACTATTTAAGAGCGTCATGTATTTTGATTCCTATGTATAACAGTAAATTGATACAGTATTTCACTTATCATAGTGGAGGTGTTTGGATGTTGCACAGTGCCAGCTGCTCAGTAATCCCACATTCGTTACTTCAGTCTAGCGATAGACTGCGTTTTTCTGAAAAGACCAAACCTAACAATGTAGTAATCCTGCTAACAAGTATGATCTGATATATCTTATTCCTCTGCCATTGTTGTCCAAAAAATTATTAAAAACATCAGTGAGCTACACTGATGCATGTTGCATTTTGACTCAGCGCTACATCCCGCTAGTGTAAATAATTGCTAGAACACTAATTGTGTATTAATCCACAAGAAATCTTCTTTTATTTGAGTAACGTTGGCTAAAAACAATTGCACCATGCTGTTTTAGGAAATTACTTAGCCTGTTCAAGAAAAATGAAACTGGTTGTGACCTATTTAGAAAGCCTTACATCTTTAGTAGGATTGCATAGGGGGAAGTCATGGGATTAGATGACAGTACAAAAAACAGCATAACACCAGCCTAAGAATAAAATAACTGTCACATACTTGTCTCTGAGAAATGATCAGGGTTGGTGTAATTAAACCTGTGGCAGCCTCTACCTTAGCATTTTGTCATTCTGCTCTCAGTTACATTTACAGCAATTCAGGTATTTCAAATCAGCACAGCATGTTTATTTCACATACTAATATCTTATTTCAAGCTAACGCAACACGTTGATATCCGACCCGTCTCTCGCTGTAACTTTCTGTCCATTATCTGTCATCTTCTCCCTTGGTGCACCTCACCCCCTCACACCACCCACCCAGAACAGTAAGTCAGGTGGTTTAGGTTTATATGCTGCCTGACCTCACTGTTACTATCAGTTACAGTGGGGTGATTTAGACTGATGTCATCCAAGTCTCTCTTCATCTTCCACTGTGTGTATAACCACCCTGTCTTACGTATGTGTTGCTTTGTTCCCTTGAGTGTGTGTGTGTGTGTGTATATGTCAGAGTCTTCATGCATCAGCCAGGAAATTGCAGGTGTTGGTTTGTTTGCATTCAAGGCTCAGTTTGCAGCCGCAGTCAGGAGTTTTTCTGAAGGCCACATCCTCCTCCAAGGTTTCCTCCTTGAACCCTTTCAGTTATGCCAGAACTTTAAGTTTAAAAACACAAATTTTCATCTTCAGCTCTCAAAATATTTTCAAAGAAAATGATGTCTGTGCATGTTTACTGTAATTCTATGTGTGTTCTGTCTGGAAATGTCCTTGAGATAAAATTTAAAACATCATCTACTGCTGCAACTTTCTCTTGCAAAATGTTGCTTTTACCCCATGTGCAAACCAATAAATCCTCACTCTGTTCGCCTCTCCTGTTTCTTTTGCCTCTCTTTTTCCCTCCCTCACAGTAGGTTTGGTACTAAGTGTGCCCGCTGTGGGCGGCAGATATACGCCAGCGACTGGGTGCGCCGCGCAAGAGGAAACGCATACCACTTGGCATGTTTTGCGTGCTACTCATGTAAGAGGCAGTTGTCCACAGGAGAGGAGTTTGGCTTGGTGGAGGAGAAGGTCCTGTGTAGGATTCACTACGACACCATGGTGGAGAACCTCAAACGAGCAGCTGAGAGCGGTGAGTAGCAGTTCTGACAAATTTACTGCTGTGCTTTGCAATGTTTGTGCAGATGTTTACTCAGAAGTCTCCTTCCAAGACAAGATGTATTCAAATTTGTTATAATTCCTTCAAACCATAAACTAATTTAATTCTATAAATGTATTATATTTGCATGAAATAATGTCTGATTTCTCAGTGTCAGTTATGTGGAATGCCCAGTATGTTACAAGAGCTCAAGACTATCTGTGTCCCAAATAAGAATACAATGTTTAAGTCATATGTTTTAAATAGTATGCCTCCTAAAATGCCTGTGGCTGCATTCAATTAAGCTACAACTCATGAGTTGCATCTGACGCCTGCTGTTGCCTTTTTCAGGCAATGGCATCACATTAGAAGGGGCAGTTCCAACAGAACAGGACAGTCAGCCCAAACCAGCCAAAAGAGCACGTACATCATTCACTGCTGAACAGCTACAGGTCAGACGCACGCACACACCACACATAATTTGCAGCTTATTTTTTAAATCTTGAGTCCATGCACCATATTTTAATACTGTATTTGATTTGGTGATGTTTCATCACAATTTGCAGATCATGCAGGCTCAGTTTGCCCAGGACAACAATCCAGATGCGCAGACGTTACAGAAGCTAGCTGATATGACAGGTCTCAGCAGGAGAGTTATACAGGTCAGTACACACTTACATTAAGGTTTGACTGTAGTGAAATGGAATAATTCAGCAAGAGACAAACACCTACAACTTGATCCAGGCACGATGAGTAAAATGAGAAAAAAATCTGATTATTTACTGTTGATACAATAAAATGTACAGGTACACGTATGACCATTCATGTTTCTATATTTTCATAGCTGTGTCTGTCAAATAAATTAACATATCCTATTAAAGAATACATGCATGATATCTGGTTACATTGCGTTGTCATAGGTGTGGTTTCAAAACTGCAGAGCAAGACACAAAAAGCACACGCCCCAGCACAGTGGGGCTCCACAAGGTCATCCCCAGTCCAGGATACCCTCGTCCATGCCCGATGAGTTGCATTACTCCCCCTTTGGTAGTCCTGAGCGGGCGCGAATGGTGTCCCTTCACGGGTACATCGACAGTGAGTTGTATTTTACTACTGTGCAGTAAACAGCTGTGTAAAATGTTCAACTTTTCATTTAATGACTTGTGGCAAGTTTTATCTAAAGTACTCTTTGCTTTTTATTCTATTTGGGTTTGCATGTTATCCAGGTCATGCCTTCTCTGTGCTGACCTCTCAGAGTCTCCCTCACCAGGCCATGTCGTTGCCCCAGCTCCCCCTCAGCCGCTAGCACTCCGCTATGACCCCTGTGACCCCTAACCTCTGGACCCTAACCTTTGATCTCCCACCAATGACGTCTGACAGGAGTCAGCTTGGAGAAAAGATTAATCTTACAGGAGCCCTGCCCACTCGGAAATAGAAAAAGAAATTGAAGAAAGCTGAAAAAAAGCCGAACTTCCATCCATCGTTATGTTTTATTTTCTGAGGACAGGAATCCGACCTGCAGCCAGTCTGTCAATATGATAATGAAACATTAATCACTGGCAGGAACTCACTAACTGTATTTTACACCACCTAAAGGACCTATTTTTGCTTCACAAGTACAGAATCCTCCACTCTACTCATCCACCAACTGACTTGAAGGTGGAGGGAGTTTTAAAGGGATGACGCTGGTCAAGGAAGCAGGACTGCAGCCTCTTGTGTGCTGTCAGAATATTGAAGATAAACAAGGAGGGGAAAATTTAAAGGGGAAACTGTCATTGTGGCCCAAAAGGCCAGGCACACACAATAGACCACATTAGAGGTAAGACGCCTCCCTCTTTCTTCTCTAAGCAACCATGAAGGAAGCCTAAATGGAAATGAAATATGTTCATAAATGACTCATTTCCTTTAGGAAATACACAGTGACTTTATGATGTCTCAAAAAACACTTCCCAGCTACATTTCTTGTCAGTTTTCCATTGAAATGAGGGGCAGAATTCGATTGAATCTGTCATTTTGTCAAAGAATGAAAATAATGTGTGCCTTATCCTTTCCGTTATTTAAATAAACTGTAGTTGTTTACAGCTAATTAAAATTCCAGCCTGTAATTCATCACTGTGTAGAACAAATTATAAGAACTTTAAATCTTCCAGTTATAGAAAATCATAAATGTATTGCAGCACTGCTTATCATGAAGGCAATCACAAAGCACAGTGTCTGGGCTTGTTTTTATTAAATTATGGCTGTAACAGATAAGCCTACAGATTTAAGGCTGCCACAAACCTCTTACATCTCTTTACCCTGAGAGAGGGAAGTCTGAGATAGCCAAACTACACATTCCTATAAAATCCGAGCTGTTATAAGTTACATATTTTCATATTTCCAAACAGCTATGTGGTCACTTATTTATGATTTTAACGATGCTTGTTCAGCCTCTCTGTGTAAGTGATTCTTTTACAAAATGTGGGAATTGGAGTACTGGTACAATATTGACAAAATGAAATAGCCTGGGTTGTACATAGTAAGATGTGTGTGTGTGTGTGTGTGTGTGTGAGAGTGTTTCTATGTATGTGTGTGTATTGGCAGGGGTAGAGTGTGTGCATCTGTATTTTAGTGCCATGACCATTGTGTGAAGAACAGGATCCAACAAGACCTCAATGTCCTTGTATTTATTGAGATGGTAAATCCCTGTAAAGCACTTTTTCCCTCTGAAATGGTTTTGTTTTGTTAAAAAAAAATACATGAAATGAAAAAAAGTTTATTTGATAGACTGTGCATCAAAAATGTTTTGTGTACTAAAATGCAATAAAAAAAGAATGTGAGATTTTTGTGGCTTTGGATCATTTCTGAGGACACGTTTCTGTTTTCCCAAACGTGTCTGGCATAAAGCAAAGTAAATAGGTATTTCAAATGGCAAAAATACAAATACAGTTTATTTTTTTTTTTTATTTAAGCATGATGTTTTACTGTCTCATCATGTCTGGTGCTTGTGGTTCAGTGTGCGTTTATTTAGTTGCAAATGCATGTATATATTTGCTTTAAATTGTGTACATCCTAGTGCATATATTAGGGAGGAACAGTGCATCATGGGAAAGATTCCCTCTTTGTTAAGGACTGCTGTCTTTAAAAGTAATATGTTTATCATTTTATTTATTGATAGTGCTTTGTACTTTTAAGGAAATGTAAAGGTGTTTACATGATTGATGCGGTTTCATACAAAAGATCTAACAGTTTTTGATTATTATACTACAAGAGTAGTTTGGTCATGAGTGCATAACCCTCACCCTGCAGACCTGTGCACTGTTAAAGTTACCTCTATGCATCTCCCTGTGATACTGTCATCCACTTACTACTAAAATATTAATTGGATAACTGAACTCTTTACCGGTGACCTACTGTGTAACGTAGCCTATAAACCTACTCAGTGAATGTTATGTTTCCATTGTGATTTTTGAACATTACACTATATGTTCTCTGTGCTGGGACATTTTTAGGATTTGAATATTATATATAGGATCAAAACTACAACAATAATAATAATTCATGTTAAACAAACAGGAAGCCAATTGTTTTTTTGTGAAGTGCTGCAGATAATTGTTTTGTTGCTACCAAATCCACTTTGATTCAAGCTACAAAATTCTGTGGTTTGATAAGGACAAATGACACTTTTATTTGATGGACAAGCTGTGTTAAACATTTGACTCTGTGGGAAACTGAACATTTTGATTCACCTAAACATAATATTAAGAGCAACAATATAGGAAATGTAGGTCATAAATGCTATATAGTGTCCTTGTAGATGAAAACTACGTGTTTGTACAACCAACAGCTAAAGTCGGCATACATTTCAAAGACTAACATTTATTTAACTTAAACTTGATATAAGATTAGACACAGCTTTGCACTTAAATTCTCAGATCTTACTCTTGCTCTCCCTCTTACACTGTTATGGAAATGAAGATGAATGCACTGACAGGCAGCAACTGTAACCTACAACATACATTATATGGAGCAAGGAGGTTAAAATAGGACAATGAAATGAATAATAACAGAAAAATATATAAACTTAAAATTTTGCTTTTCACTCATTATATGCCTTCAAATCAAATTCAGACAGACAGACAGTTTTAATATCACTACAAATAGAATACTATAAGTGCAGTTTTTAAAAAGTGTTATTTGATATCGCTGGTTTCTTCAGATCTGGTTGCAGCAGATTCTTCAGGGTCAATGCCAACGACCTCATCCCAAGCTTTTTGACAAGTCCGCACAATCCACTCATGCTCTGAGTCATCTGTTGGAAAGATTTAATTTGAAAACATCGAGAATTTTTGTTAATGGTACTGGAAACAAAGTCTGGTGTAAAAATAACTTGTTTTTCCAAATGCTTGAATTATGCTCAAATGAGAAGGAGAAAAGGATCCTGCAGATTGAAGTGTAGAAGGTGCACAGCAAGGAGCTGTGCTAATTTTGATGAACTCACTTGAAATGTTTAAATCAAATCTGTAATAACCAGTAGCATGCATAATTAAACCGCAGGTCATTTTGTGTGTAAGGCTACAACAGTGAAGTGCCATTCAAGTCTCGGGTAAATTTGTCAAATCAAGATAAGCCTGACAATTAGGAGAAAATAACTTCTCAAAGCCACTTCAGACACCAATAAATAATAACCCCACCCCCCCTTAAAATGGACGCCAATTCTTTTTAAAGCGAAACGACTGCCAGAGGAGCTGATAATAAACCAGTTTTTCATTGTTAAAACTGAAATGAGTAGCTAATTGCAGGGGAAGTGAGCTTTCTCTGGAGCACGCGCAGCTGCACGCACTTGAGCGGCACGCGGCCTCACCCCTAGGTTCCACTGCGCGCGGGGCTCCATTGTACAGAGGCGCAGGTCTGCAGCTCTCCGACTGATTGTGCGTAATTGTCAGCAATGGGCGTCAGCACTAACAGCCTCTTCAACTATAAAGCACCCCCATCTCTTTTTCCTTGACTGTCGCTCTTTCTACCTGCTCTGAGGTCAATTGAACACGTCGTACACGCGGACAGCTGCCACGCAAACATTGTCATCAGCCTTTGTGGCGCACTTTTTAGTGGGAAAGGTAATAGGCTATGTCGCTGTGTTGCCATGAGACTTGCCTCAATTAGCCACCAACTACAGCTTGCCTTAATGATAATTTGATTGGCATATTTTCATATTTGCTGTAATTCTACCCTCTTGAGATTGTATAGCAACGTTTATCTCAGGATTTAAGTCAAATGGTACCTTGAGTTATTTGAGGGCACAGGTGGCTGGTACACCGGTGGCAATTTCCTGCTATTGAAAGATAGCAGGATATTTTTGTGATTTGGATTAACTAGTTTTTTGCAAGTCAATACATTGAATGTATAGACTGGGAATGGGTAGACTGCTAAAAAAAAATAAAATATTATGTTAAGTTCTGTCAAAGTTTCAGGAACATTTGAAAGAAAATTTTGCATGCATGATCTTTGTGCAATGTACAGAGGAGAGAGCCTGTGGAAGTGATAATGGCACCTTGTTAAAGACTTTGTCTTAATCCTTAAAATACACTCAGAGGGCAAAGTGTTTCCTACCAGCCTAATGGCAATAAATTAACACAAACAAACATACACACAAAGACAGAAATGCTAGCTTAATTAGCAAGAGAAAAATAGTTTTTTTTGTATATGAGATGACTGCGTTGCACTGGATATGATGGTGAAGCTTAAACATGGAGTAGTATTCAGGGGGACAGAGGAGCTACAACTGTGATCTCATGAAGAATCAAAGTGGTCCACTGACAGTGCCGAGCAGCTCAAACTAAAGGACGTAGCTATAATATGCAGGGTTTCCAAGTGGAGGCACTACAGTGAAATCAAACATACCTCAATGTGAAAGCTCAAGCAAACATTCAGATGTGCATGTATAAGTCATCTGTCTCCAATTCACTGCAAACAGAGCAGCTCTTGGTTTTGCGTCTTGATAACATCACAAAAAACAGTGGCGGTTTTCTGGTTTCCAGCTTTGAAGGAGAGATACTGATCTTTGAAACTATTAATCCATCTGTCACACTTCGTAGGACTAACATGCTGTTTTATGGTGACTTTTTATCTCAGAGATATGACAAATGAGAGCTTCAGGAAAGGCAGTGTGGAGATATTTTCCATTCCCTGGAGCCTCTGCTGATTGTATCTGTCTGTGAAACACCTCAGCTGGACAGAGACAAAGGGAGGGGCCGTGGTTTGGTCACCAGCGGTGTTTTCCTTGGCAGTGGAATGTTTTCAGTGTGGAGCTCTTTTCTGTGTGGAGTTTCAAAGGGAAGTGGTTATTCCAGAAACAGGAAAGTGCTACAAACAATATGGCAACACATGGCCCCTGCTGGAGCTGCTGCAGCCTCCTGCACCGCTGCTGAGTGTTGCTGCCTGTTGCCAGGAGAAAATATACACAACTGAAGTTGTGTTAGTGTGTGTGTGTGTGTGTGTGTGCGTGTTTGTTTATAATAACAGATCATGCTCAATCAGTCGGTGGTGGGATTTGATTGTGCAGATGTGGTCTATATATCTTTTCCCTTCATTCTTTTTTAATGACAGTTTCAGAAAGTAATGCATATCTTTTATATTGCACCCTCAAACTTAAGTGACAACAATCTTCATCACCCGTGACAAATTAAAGTACAATTATGTGTCTCTGGATGTTTTGAAAAAGCAAATAAAAATAGGCTTTTTGAGTTGCTTGTATTTAAATATTTAGTTGGCTGATTATGTGATGTGTCTTTCAGATTAAACCGTAATCATTTCATTGTGTTACACAAGTTGTTGACTTTATTCAAGCTGGGTTAACTATGCCACAGTGCGGCGGCAGTAAGGTTTGTTGAAACACTTTCACATCATAAAATGCCAAACTGAATTGAAAAGTCAACCCATGATTCAATGGTTTGTGATTTTAAGCTGTATGGAAGTGAGATGCAGTCTTAATTATGTATGTTTATCTAATGTGATTTTAACTCTTCCTTTATAGCAGCTCTTATTTATTTTAACAGCAAAACAAATACATTTTTCACACCTTTTCACCTGGAGCCATCCCAATTTTTCATCTTAATTTAATTTACTTAAGAGGTGAAAACATGCCCGATACCTGTCACCAATGCAGATTCATCTATGAATATGTTTTTGTATCTTCCATGGAATGCTTGACAAATTGACATGACAAATAACCAACATCCAGGGACACTCACACAGATGTTCCTTTCTTTCCATCTTCTGCATATTCCAAGAGGTGACTGTACCAAATTACCTGTCTGACTCCTACTGATCATGCTTGAAATCCCTTTACTTTGACTTGTCCCGGTGTCTCTACACCATAAAGATCGTGAACTAATGACTCTGACTGAAGCCTGCCAGTGTAGGTATAAAATAAAGCATGACTGTAAGCATATGGCATTTCTTTCCTCAAATTTAACCAGGAAACAAGTTTGATTAGAATAAAATGATTTTCCAAGACTGATTTCTCCTACAGAATAAGATAGGAAACCACAACCACTGTGGGTTCATATGTCAGTAAAGGAGGGCATTTGTCATCATCTATCTGTTATAGAGACTGTGCCTTTTGCTTGCAGTCATTTTTTCCTCTAATTCATAGTAATGTTTTGTGGTCTTTGTACAAAACCAATGAGTAAAAGCAATTTTTTGATGTTTTTGAAGAATGGACTAAGTGGAACACTTAAGCCTATTACTGTACCTCAGTGTCTTAAGTGCTGAGCCCATCATAAGAACGGCCATACATCCCATTATTATTGTTTATCTATAAGGGCTTGTATATTGGGAGCAGTCAGAGGTTCAGTTTCTTCAGGACACTTTGATATGTGTAACAAACCACTAACCACTGACCTGCTCCATCACCTGAGCAACACTCTCCATTTCTTCTTTTCTCCTAGGTACAATTATAGTGTATGGGTATTCTTGACAAATCCCTAAATACAATATACTGTGCTATTGCCAGCTACCCCCTGATGATAAGAAATTGGTTCAACTCCAAAAATAATCTGTACATCTTGGGAAATTTTAGCAACAGATGCTATTGTTTTGCTACTTGGCACTATTCCAAGAAGAGCTGTTTGTCCAAGTCAGCAGCAGTGAGTAAGGACTATGTAAGAAGTCAGTTTGGCCAGTGAGTTAAGTTTAGCCTGATATTTCCTAACAACAATGTTTATTACCAGATTTTTTCATCTTTTCTAGATATGAGGTTTTGTCTTCTCTATCTTCACCGGCTCAGCTCTTCCTTGCCCTACATCCACCAGTTGTAACCACTACATGGGGAGCTCCTTCCTTTTTCCTTGCTGCAGCAAATCCCCCCACTGGGAGGGTAGGTCTTCACTGTGTCCCATCATCCTCACAGTCCCCATCCTGGGCGGAAGCCAGGAGGCAATAAATTCTGTCTTCACACCCACTTGGACAAATGTGCCTTCACCTCCCAGGGTTGAAAAATACATTTATACAGGATACAGGAGCATTCTTCTCAAGACAAGAAGGACAGCACATAAATAGTGTATGTGATATTTAGCATGTGCCACGTATGCACAGGCATTTCACCATACAGATGCACATAAACACAACAATGAATAGTCCCTATTTGACTCTGTATTTATCTAATTAAAAACAGCCAGGGTATTGTTGGAAAATGTTCGGTTTCTCTTCTTTTTCATCAATATAAAAACCTATCCAAAAGAATTACTTCCTTCTTACTCTCTTGTTCTTTTCCTCTCTACCTCTCTCCCTCCATCATTCCACTGATCAATACCAGAGCTACATAATGATGATGAACAACCCATACCAAAGAGTCACAACACATATTTTCATCTTCTTACATATGCTGATGTCATCTGGTGAAGATGTGGACTCCTCTCCTCTGTTTCTTTCTGTCTCTACACGAATGTAAATGAGATTTGTATGGTTGTGGAACTAATCTGTATTGTGTTGCAAGTCGCCCATCTGAATACAAATATTCTGCCCCAAAACACATTTCTGCCATAAGAAACTTGCAAGTCAGGCTGCAGCTTGTACCAGAAATCATATCTTCACACGTGTCTGTATTTATAATGTAAAAAGCAATCAGTTTAATTCATATACAAAATAAAACAGATTCAGGAATCATCAGAAAACAATCCAGACACTGAAGCTTTCTTGTACGTCTTTAACAATGGAAGAACATCAAAAAGTTAAACGCTTTCTAGATTTAAATGGTTCCCGCATTTATGAAATTAAAGGTGAAGTGTGTAAGATTTAGAAGGATCTATTAGCCGAAATGGGTTATAGTATACATAATTATGTTAATCACCAGAAAATAAGAATTGTTGTGTTTTCTTTAGCTTAGAATGAGCCTTTTATATCTACATAGGAACGGGTCCCCTGTCATGGAAGCTGCCATGTTGAGCTGCCATGTTTCACACACTAGCTCTAGAGCATGAATTTTACAATTTCACAATGAAGTAGCAGCTTGGATTTGGATATACTTGGAAGATGAAGAAGAAGTAACGTTAGAAACAAGGGGAAGCACTGTCATGAGTTTAACAACTATAATTTGGAGAAATGGAGGATCATAGTTATACTTTAACACAAGAAAAAGGAAGAAAGTGTGAATCCCTGTCATCAAAGACGCAAAGACATGAAGTAATGAGTTTCTGTTTGATAGCTTAAGCTAGAATATGGCCAGTGCTGAGTAACCCACTGTGGTCAAGTGAGCCGCCGTTAGCTTTTGCTTGGTCAGGTCAGCCACGCTTGTTTTCCAAGTGTGCAATTGTCCCACATTTATGGTAATTGCTGTGAAATGGCTGTGAGGGCCGTTTAACACGATGTATGAGAGCTTTGCTGAATGTCGCAACCTGCAACCTCACTGCTAGATGTCAATAAATCTCATACACTGCACCTTCAAAAGTAATGTTGCAGAGTGCTGTAGGATTTAACAATCAAGCATGTATGTAGTTTGTTAAGATCTGCTGCATCAAGGTTGAGTCTACAATCATGCTAGCAGCTCTTAAAATGTCAGGGGTTTACCAAAGTCAGAAGGAATCATTGTCTGGAATCACGAATATCTGTACAAACCTTAATAGCAATCAGTTTGCTAGCTACTGAGCTATTTCAGAATGGACCAAAGCAGTAGACCAGCTAACAGCCCAACCAGCTGCAAGCGTGGCTAAAAATGGTAATGTCAAACACCCTTGATGCACAGAAATGCAACTGGACTTAGACTTAGCCAAGAGTAGTTTGGAAATTGCTAGGTTCAAAGGCTGCTGCCATGAATATCCACATTGTCTTCTATCCCAGGTACACAAAAAGTCAAATTCAAACCCCACTGCTTAATTCACGACATCATCCAGTGATGTAAAAGTATGGTGGGGAGACATGATGAGTAGAGGATGTCAGAAATTGGGAATTCTTATCTAGACACCTGACAGACTGTATTCACTTCAAATCAGGAGTTCCAAAACTGGGCACTTGTTCAGTGGAAAATGTGTCTTGAATTTTCCACTTCTGACAAATAACAAAGGAAAAACGTTTCAAATGACTGCAACAGCCCATAGAAGCATGCTTATGGGATGACTTGTAGTAATCTTCCATCAGAGAACCCAGGGAAAATCTATTTTACGTAACTCCATAGGTTCACCGTTATCAAATCCTTCCCATATGGCCGCGCTGTATGCTTTAATATGTGCAGAGTATCGAAACGTGGGCAGAGACAGAAAGGTTCTGGATAAAACAAATTCAGTACAAGAGCTTCGCCGTGCCTGAAAGTAGCTTCGGTGACACTTCTTCTATGTGGCCTGGTCTCAGAAAAGTGAAGTTGCTGAAAAGTAGGCATGATTTCACACAAAGCTACTATCTTGCATGACAAGACAGCAACAGTGACTCCCTCAGTACTAATTTGGCTGTCTGTGCAGCTTTTAACTCTGGATCTTTCTGAGGTATGCAGAGGCCCCAGTGGACATTTCCTGGTATATTCCAACACTGTTAACCAACTACTGGAACATTAATATAAGGAGCCTACCCTAAGAAACTCCACTCTCATTGTAAACCTCCCTTCTAACTATTAGCTCAACCACAAGTCTAATTTTGTCCTTTGTAAACACGTTAAAGCCTGTGTTGCAAACTGCAAACCGGTAATGGAGTTTAAATCCACAGCACCATGATTACTGCAATTAACAGTATTTCTATATATGATCAATTATGAAAAAAGTGGTACTGCTTTATGAAGCTTTAATATAAATACACTCAACATACATCAGCCTATCACTGACAGTTTGTTTCGGTGGACATAAAGCTTCTCAAGCTTAATGTGAAATGTAAATTTGTAATTTCCTTTGGCACCACAGGGAAAGATTCCTGGATACTATTCAAAGTACAGATAGAGCCAATGTTGCATCAAGTCAGAAGAAAAAATCTGCACAAGCTGAAGAAATGTCAGCAGTGAGAAAGTGAGGTAAGATTTTGTTTATGACAGAGATACTGTATTGTGAGATGTCACTTGTCCTGCTTCATATTTTTATATTGTGGACTGCAGTAGGTAATAACTGCATTTGTTAATTTCACAATACGTGCATAGTTCACAGTACATCCAGGCTAGAAGGTAAGCAATATTTAGGAGCAAAGGATTATTATGATGAATCAAAGTAAGGGGTTACATGTTCACTATATCACCTATGGGTCACAGTCATCTCTGGTGTCAATGGGCTGTAGTAATGGTATTTTCTGTGTCACCTGCATTCCTGAGGAATCTGCCTGTGTAGGAAGTGACAACTCTGGTAGTGGGGTCATAGAAGCCATCTCCACAGTTGTAGCACCCATCGGGAATAATGTGTGGAGGATGCAGATCAGTTATCTGAGATTCTCCTGTGTGGACAGAGCAGATGTTTTGTATTATATTATCATGGCGGTTTACTGTTATTAGTGGCTTTTATTTGTGGAGCAGTGGTTAATGCTGTTATACTCAGGTTTTCCTAATGGCTTCCACCTAATGTTGCATGCCATGTTCATGTTGAAGGCCATGAGTATCAGATGAACTGGGGACTAAAGTTTTGGGTGGTTTAGCCATTTGTTAGTGACTTGATGAACACAGATTGTCTAGCCAGTCAGGCACTCAGTTTGCCTTCTTTCTGTCTGAACATCAGTCCACTATGCTCAGTATTTTGCATGATGCATGCTTGCCAAGATAGGTGTTATTTATCTTATTCCCATGTAGTCCTAATTTAAAATTTAAACAGTGTTTTCATTCTAGGCAACATTAAATGATGAGAAGGTGTTTGTATGGGAGTGGAACAGAGAAAAAAAATCACTGTCATTGAACTTCATCAGCAAATACAAAAGCAAATAATTGAATGCCAACCTGCAGGTCTGAGTCCGTTGCACCTCTCACTGTAGAAGCGCCTGTCATAACCATCACAGTAGTCCCAGTCCTTCTCCTGGTACTGCAGACCATCAGCAAAGGTAAATGACCCCTAGTGAGAAAGCATGATAAAGAGCCAAATCAGTCAAATTACACAAAAATTCTTATTCTCCACTTACCCCTAGTGTCATCTGGGCATACATTTCAGTTGTATGTGGCACAGTTTTGGGATATCCAGATTTTCTTTCACTCCTGCACAATGGATATGAATGAAATTTCACTTGTACCCATCAAAGCACTGAAAAAAGAAAACCTCAACAGAAAGAATAATGTCTCTGTTACTCAAGACAATCCACAGACCTCACTGTTGACAGCTTCATTGGGACTATTTCTTTAGCAGAAAGTAGTTTCAGTGGAAAGTGTTGAAAGCAAGAAAAGGGGGTTATCTTGTTTTCCCTAGACATGGTTTCTGGAAAGATAAGTTGCTGTTGAGGTTTTTAAATGTAACTTTTCAGAGCTTTAAGCAGGATTCTCAGAGATGAATATCTCAAATCTCCAGCAAAAGAAACCAAAACTGTCTGCATAGATACTACCAGGGGAAAGTGAAAACCTATGTCTTTTGGTATTTGGGATGAACTAGCACATTGTGAGAAAGAGAGAGAGAGAGAGAGAGTATGCACATGCATGTTTATCTAAGGAATGATAAAGCAGTTATTGGAATAAAAACTTCTGATTTTTCAAATAAACATACTTTGTTGAGTAACATTTTATCATGTGGATTTTTGAGGACTGTACACATTCAAAGAGAAGAGCACTAAGAAGAACTCTACAATGCAACCTTGATTAAAGTTATTAATGACACCTTTGATTGTCCTGCTTTGGCTTGTCAAAATTTAGTAAAGAAAAAAAAAAAATCTGTTAACCTGGCAATTACCGGTTAAAGCTTCTGATTGCTGTTGCTGGTCCTTTTATTTTGTAACACTTTTTGATCAGGTTTATATATAAAACTTAAAGTAATATCTGCATTTCAACCACAACATTCCAAATAAAACATTTATGTTGCTTGAATTGCATATGCAATAACATATGTCTTAACATACACAGTGGATCTCAACATTTTACATTCACAAGGGTAAAAAATCTATGCTATAGTTTTTGCATGTTGTCAAAAAATGGGAAAATAGTCTTCAATCCCAGGCTGTGAGGCACTGAAGGAAAAGATGCAAGCTGCAGAATCACCCTCAAATTATCAGACATCAATTCCCGAGTTAGAATTTTATGTGTTTATTGGATTGGTTTATGGTCTGTTTTGAACCGAGGTAGGTTTTTTTGGCTGCCACAGATGCAGGTGTAGAGTAGTCTGGGCCAAGGTTAGTCATGGTTCCAAGCAGCTATCATTTGAAATGAACTGCAACTGCAGTGATGACAATAATTGGAGTGATCGCTGTTGTGGCAAAAGCCCATGAAAGATTGCATCAGATCAGAAAAGGCTACAACTTCATGCACAAAAAATGGAGAGAAACCTAATAACTACAACAATAATGGTAGTGATTTCTAAAAGAGACCAGATGTAATATCAACTATAACCAATGTGAAACACACAGAGTCATGCATGTGGATCACTGATATATAGGCTAGTGGATGCATATAATGTGACATGCATGTAGGGACACACATACACACCACTCATCACCTGTTTAGCTATGCCGTTTTCCCAAATGGCTTCATATTTACTTCCATTTGGAAAATGCAGCACTCCTCTGCCATGAAACATCCCATCTTTCATCTCTCCCACATACTGTGTTTCTGTAGGAAAGGTGTACTGTCCATTTCCTTCCATCCTGAGGGGGGAAAAAAAAGAAATGTTCAGTGTTTTGTCAACTGTCTCTCCATACATAGCTAAACCACTTTGGTTGTGTAAAGCATGCTGTTTTCAGATTTATGAAACAGGCATAAATTGAGGTTACCTGCCATTTTTTGTATCTCCTTTGTAACTACTTCCAATAAACTCCATTGCCGTCTTCTCAAAGTTTACTGTCACCATGGCAACGCTACAACAGAGAGAAAGAGTCGTAAGCTATAGGTTAAATACAATGGCCCGCTGCCACAGCCTCGTTAAGCGATTTTGAAATAAAATCTAACAAAACAATTAACAGATAACATGAAATTTATTCCCCTTTATAGTTCCTTAGTGCGCATGCGGCGGCAGCCTGGTTGCGTCATCAGAACGCGCCTCTCAGCTGACAGTGGGATTAGGCTCTGTAAACTGACCTTCTCCTTGGCCTCGTCGGTTGTCCTGGAGAAAATTAAGGACCTTGAATGTTTTTCTGCAGCGGTATTGAAGTCTTTTATTATATGACATACAGCCATGCCCACAACTCTGGAAGTTCCAACGTTGCAGGAGCTGAAAGTGGATGAGGTGAGCAGTAGTTATCGTTTAGCCGGAAAGCAAATTATAGTACATGCTAGCTAACCATCCGCCGACGGCTGGCCGGCAGTATGGTTGAATATATGATCAGTAGCTAATGGGTTAGCTTTTGGCAGTTCCCTCATAGTGTTATTTAGATAAATCGATAGTGCATCCCCCAGTGAGTATTTGTCGCAGGAATAAGTATTTGTCAGAGGAATAACGTTATGTGTTCGAGGTGTTATCGGTGCATGAGTCGATTGGCTGTTAACCATCGTGAACCTTATTTCTACACAGTCATATTCATTGTCTGCATTATCTCTTCATTTCACTCCTGTGGTGACAGTAATTTTACAATGACTCCCCACAACGCATCTGTTACCGGTTCATGTCAGCAGCTGTGTCATTTAGCACACTGTACTTGTTCTTGGAAGTAAGGTGTTAGCTGGCAGCAGCTTGTATCTTTCCAACACTTACTGTAAACAGTAAGTACGTTCGCAGGGGCAAGTTCCTTTTAAATCCACTAGTTTGATAAATATTTCTTTTTAGAATTGGTGTAATGCACAATATCAACTTCATACTCTTATGCAATTTATATTTGTAGTCTAATTGATCACGTTTCCAGGCACTTCACCAGTTGGCTTTATATTCATCATCATAAGATAGATTTTATAACCTATACTGTATTGTTTTTACATCTTTTTTATTCCCATAATACTGACTAATGTGTGCTAGACTATAATTTGCTGTAAACGCACTAAATTTAGTAAAACATTTCATCACTGATTTGATTAAAGGACCATTACAGAACAACACAACCCACACAGCAACAGCATTACAATTGTACTTATAAAAAAATGAAAGAGATGCTGTACAAAAGAATAACTGTCTACTTTTCACCATTTGAGTTAAATTAGCAGCTTCCATCTGTTCCCAGTTAGGCTACAACTGTACTGATTCTGTCTCTGCACTGAACTGCAGTTTTCACACAGATTATTTGGTTTCTTTAAGTCCAGTAGGTCACAAATTTATCAGCCTACACAAAATAATCCCCTTTTTCAAAACATAGAATTATTATATATTAGCTACTATTTATTAATAAACCCAGTGACATTTTTTCATATGTGTTTTGGTCCAGATCAGTGTGTCATCTGCAGTGCTGAAGGCTGCTGCTCACCATTATGGTTGCCAGTGTGACAAACCGAACAAGGAGTTCATGCTGTGCCGCTGGGAGGAGAAGGACCCCAGGAAGTGTCTACAAGAAGGCAGGAAAGTCAACGAGTGTGCACTCAACTTCTTCAGGTACTGCACACCCTGGGTTTACATCGTTTCATACGCATTTAGAGATTCAGTACAAAAAAATATTAATTAATTAAACATAAGGAACAGGGAATGGGAATTAGAAAACTATTGATTAGGCAGAATAGATACATTTTTTGGAAAGGAGGGATACCACCCTGATATCATCTGCAAAACTGAATAGTGCACTTGTGGTCAGAAAGTGACTGAAGCTATAGCTGAAGTCTGGAATTTGAGAGGTGATGTAAAACTCAGAGGAGTTTGTGGTCAGGACTTTTTCCACTGTAATGGACATGCGGGTAGAAAACGTGATCTCAGGATGCAAATTAGGCTGCTGGACAATTGTTCTTCTAGGGGTTAAGTTTATAGAGAAAGAAGATTTCAGAGAATGGGCATCTGGTTTCTTGGTCTCTCATTTGTCTTATTAAAAAGCCTTCCTTTCCATCAACTTCTTCTGAGCACATTGACATGAGAAGCTGTTATTGCTCAAACATTCAGTTCACCTTTCCTGAGTTGTTGCCAAATGTCTGAAAAGTTCTTTTACATTAAGTAAATGTACTTTGTCACAGTTGTTTTTGGAACATTTTCATTATCATATTGTGTCAGTATCTATTCCCACAATAGCTATTTTTATTTTGTAAAAATATATACTGTTTTTTTTTGTTTTTTTTTGACTAATGAATATTTCTTCAAATACTCAGTAAATATATGTTGAGCCTTAACATATTCAAAAAAAAACCTCCATAAAAATGACCTGTGTGGAAAAAGTGTTAATTTTATCACACCAATAAGCTAACTAAAGAATCTATTGTCTATAAAAGTGCCACTGGGGGCTATTTGAGGAAGTGGTCTGGGGTTTTTCAGTCTTAATTGCTGTGTCTGTGTTTACTGACAGTTTTAGTCTGAGCTTTGGTTATAGTCTGATGCTCATGCAGTAACTAAGGTGCTTTTGTGTGTGTCTCAAAAGTTCTCAGAGAAAAAACACACACACGTGCACACATCCAAAAGCAGAAACAAACAACTGACTAAACATAAACTGAGGGTTACTGTGAAGAGAAGTACCAGTAATTATTATAATGAGCAAAGATTTGAGAAAAGCTGTAATTGCAGCCAGGACCTGTTTTTATTCCTGGGTGCTTCTGGTAGCAGCCAGCCACCTTCAGGCTTCACATGACCAGTTAACTTTGTTCTTATTATGGAAACCTGCTCCCAGCTATCAGAAATGTTTTGACCTGGTGGAAATTGAGACTAGTCATAAACCACAGTTTAATGAAAGTTCCTGACTTGGTTTGGTGATGAATCTTGAATTTGAACAGGTCATGCAAATAGGATCAATGTGATGTATTTATAAATCTCTTAACTCTTCACAGCTTTAACTCCTATACCATGTCCTCTTTAAAAATCACTCTCCTTGAGTCATCATATCTTAAATATCTTATTAGTATTAGGGAGAACGGTTCTTGCTCATACATGATTTTGATTCAAATCTTTGTGCCTTGTAGGCAAATCAAGGGAAACTGTGCAGAGTCGTTCACCGAGTATTGGACATGTCTGGATTATTCGAAATCGGCGGAACTACGTCGTTGCCGTAAGCAGCAGCAAGCCTTCGACAGCTGTGTCCTTGATAAGCTGGGATGGGAGAGACCTGAGCTGGGAGACCTGTCTAAGGTGAGACTTGTGAGGGAATGACTGCGCATTCACAATGTGAGAAGCTTGGTTGACGGGCTCTATTCTTGCTGATTGTGGGCTGGGCAAGAAGCTCTGATTGCATCTGCTTAGTGGTCCCATTCAGCTCCAGTTTTGAGCAGGCAAACTGTGTCTGTCTTTTTTGCTGTTTTGGATTTTCTTTTCATAAAAATGCCACTTTAATGGGCTTGCACAGCTGGCTGGCATGCATTAATTAGGTAGCAGCAATCAAAGCAAGACCAAAAACTGAGCTTGATAACAGCTTTGGGTCATTTATTCCTGTAGTCTTTGGAGGGGGGAAAAAAAGAAAACACTTGAGGAATCTTGTGAATGTGTGAATGGTTGTAATCAGCTTTCTGGCCACTTTGCGCTCACTGGGCAAAGCTGTTGCTCATAGAATTAAATCACATGAGCAGGGAAACAAAAGAACAGAAATCTGACTTAACTGTGAAAAATGTCCAGGTTGACTGTCCACACATTGGGTACGTTTGTCTGGTTGCTTAGCAATATAACAAATGAAGAGACTGAGACGGGGGACTAAATTAAACTGACTTGGGAACTGGTCAGAAAAAGGAGAGTGATCCATTTGGGAAGGTATGCGGTGTTGGAGAAAGAAAAGGGCAAGATATTAACAGAGGGACAGAGTAAAGAGAGAGGCAGGAGACTGGACCCAGATGTCGTGAAGGAGGGAAAAAGCAGGGGACGTTGTGGGAAAAGGGAAATAAACTACATATGTTGTTTTTATTGATTTTAAGGCCCCTGCTCTACAAGAAAGTGGAAAACATTTGTTTACGATTATTATGTTTTAATTGTAAAAGAAATAATCATTCAAGAAAGATCAGGCTTTTGTGTCCACCAAGATGTCCTTTCTGTACACTGTTATTTCAGTTTATATGTATAACAAGTCGCGGTGTGTATATTGGTTTTCTATTATAGGTGACCAAAGTGTCGACCTCACGTCCCCTCCCTGAGAACCCCTACCATTCTAGACCACGTCCTGAGCCCAATCCGCCCATCGAGGCTAAACTGGAGCCTGCGAAACATGGCAGCAGGTTATTCTTCTGGAACTGGTGAGGCATGTCCAGGCAGCCAGTCACCTTCCAAAGCCATGAGCTCAGTCCAAAAGCAGATAAACTACATGTGATCAATGATCCATCAGCAAGTTTAAAGGATTGGTTTTGGACAGGGCTCATGTCCTAACAATCTCTCTCACCAGCTGAACATCCAGCATCATTAATAAAGGAGGGAAGAATGGATGATTGTGTGAACAAAGACCATGAATCTATACAACTTTCCTGACCACTTCTGTAAATGTAATCAGTAAACAAATGCAACATGCTGTTATTGTTGTTGTCACACAATAAAGAAATAAATTGTAATACTGGATTGTGAATTTTTTTTAAAATTTTATTAAGACTTAGTTGCAGTAAGATGGGATTAAAGTTATAAACATTACTTATTGTTAAAATGATCAGCTTTGGCCAGACACAGTCCCTTTAATATTTCAAATTATAAGCAACACCACCGTGTTTGCACATCTGTGTTTTGTCAGAGTGTGAATTGTTGGACTGATCAAGGGTGAGGTTGCAGGTCAAGCTTCAGGGTCACTACCTGCAGCCAGAGAGCTGCTTCTGCTTCCTCCTTTTCTCCCAGTTCACTTCCTCCCTCTGACCTGGACTGGGCGAAGATGAGAGGACGATAGGAGTCATTCTGGATACACACAGCAAAGTGGTGTTGGGGAAGCGTCTTTGAATGTATGGCTATGCAAGATGCCAATGACCTCACACTGGAAGAAGTTGAACTACAGCAAAGCTACCCTAGGGAGAAATGCACTTTGTTTATCTAGAGCAACTTAGAAAAAATTGTTCAAACTTCTTTGTTTAAGAAAAACTGATAATGTACATGATTCAAAATAAGAAAGCACATAAAGTCACATGCCAGCAATACATTCCATTCAGTTGAGTTTATTACCTGAGACCTAAACCTGTCCTAAATAAAATAGTACCATCTGGGCTTTTCACAAGGACACGATTGCAAGAAATGTAATGTCTGGATTTTGTATTATCTACAACTAAAGCATTAAAGAAAAGACAGCTTGTCAGTTTTGTAACATCTGACTTATACAATCCTAACAACTTCAACATTTTAGACAGTATGAATTGCAGGAGCACTGGTCTAAATAACGGGCCTATCTTTTAACTTGTCAGAGCAGAATCTCTTGTTTATATGACACATGAGCGGTCTCTCAAAGCTCCTATCCAACATGTGGTTCTGTTTGGCACTGAAATTGTCCTTGCCAACACTGAAAAACCGCTCATGTGCAGCCAATAAAAATACAAAAATCATTCATGTCCTTTTATGGCCCAAAGTTATTTGTAGTCAAGTACACAAAAATGCCAAAAAAAGTAATTTCACTAGAACCACTATGCAAAAATGATTGTAGTTGAAGCACGAGCAAGCTGCTGCAACATGTAGTTAAACTACTAGTTTAATTATATGTAAGCCTAGTGCACTACTCCCCATCACTGCAGCCACATACTGCTGGCATGTATACAAGTGCATATGCATATACACTTGTATGCATGACCTTGAATGGAAGGATATGAGAGGTCAATTCTAAGATGCTGTGGAACATAGAGGACTGGGCACTCACCTACCACCAGGACATTGTCTGACAAATGTTGCGCACAAGTTACCATAAAAGTTCAGACTTAAAGCATAAATATCAGTTGTTTGAACTCTGCTACTGATGATTAGAATTGTTCAACCACACATGTCAAGCAGGTTCTTAACTCCTAGCATGTAGCTGGTTTCTATGGGGATCATTAATGCAAGATTTGATAGCTTTCACATATTCAGAAGCAGAGAAATGGCTCTAGGGTGTAAAAACATCTTGTTTTAGTGCACAAAACTTCTAAGGGAGGTCATCAGCAATCAGCTGACTGCCACTATGATTTTGTTCAAAATACACAAAAATATACTGCTCAAAAAAATAAAGGGAACACAACAGAAGACATCCTAGATTTGAATGAATGAAATATTCTTATTAAATACCTTGTTCATTACATAGTTGAATGTCTTATTTTCCCTTGTGTTCCCTTTATTTTTTGAGCAGTGTATATAGCTTTTTTTTAGCACTGATATTATGCTTACAGGATGTGTTTTCTATACATTTTTACTATGGGTCTCTTTTTATCCTAATGACAGCAAGTTCAACAGTGCACAATCACAACCTATTGCCAAACACCAACCATATATATTCACTATACACAGTAGATTCATGCATATATACAGACATGAGTGTGCATGTCTCCATGTTTCTGTAGGGCGTCACTGCTGGTAGTTGTAGAAATCCCCTCACAAGGTGTGGTCTGGACCTGCAGCTTGCACAGGAAACGCCTGACAGACCTTCTTCTGACCTGGACAGTGGGATAAAGGGAAGAGGGAAGAAGGGAAGTAGTGAGGAAAGGAGTATGCACAGGGAAATATGGAGGGGGTGAGTGATGGACGGGGGTGGCAAGAAAATAGGGAAGGAGGTAGACAGCAGAAGGATGAAAGAAAAGAGACTGAAAGGAGGGTAAAGGAAAAGAGGCAACTGTTCAAGGCAGGTAAGAAATTAAGGGAAAAGGATGAGGAAAAAGTGAGGTCCAGAAAGGGCAAAGTGGGAAATGACTTGAAAACAGACAGATGGAGTGGGGGCTCTGAGGTCGTTCAGTGGCTGGCAGTGAGGCCCCAGGGCTCGTGGCAGGCCTGTCTCCATGCGACTTGCAGGAAGCAGAGGGTCATCAGTGTCTGACATGGCAACGCCACAGGAAACGGGCTCTGGCACAGGAAAGAAATACAATACAGGGCTTTCACAAAGCTACAGCCTGCCCGGGAGTCTGACACGTTAAAATACTCAAACAACCTGGTTGTTCATAACATGACTGTCAGTATTCCTATTGTTCAGTGCCAGGTGCAACATAATAAAATGAATGTTTGAAGTGGTGAACAGCAACAGTCAAAGCTGTTTTTTTTAAATTTTATTTAAAATTTTTTTTATAGGACACCAGTATTTAAAACCTCAAGGTGAAGTTCAAGGAGACAGAAAAGAACATTTAGATTTCCAGCAGTCTGTGCAGCCGAGCAAACTTATCAATGCATAACTTTTGCATTTGTAACACTGCAGTGTGCTCCTTTTCCAAGAGAGGTCTGCTGCATCCATTCCATTAAGAGCCCATAACATGTGGGTGCAGTTGGTCTGACAAACTCTGAAATGTAGGTGTGTTTGATTTGTTTACCTTGGTCTGCTTCCTTGTCATTTTGTTCTGTGATCTTTTAGACTGTACATGTTGTTGAGTTCTGCTTTCATGTTTCCTCTCACCCACTCATAGTGCACAGAACGGCTTTGAACTGGCATGCATGCCACAAGTACCACCACTATGTCCATGACCCCCACTCATGGAGATTAATATTCTGAGAGCTTCAAAAGGGTAAAGTTTGCAAAAGGAAAACACACTCACACACATGTACATGCACTCACACTCAGACATTGCTTTTAATCTTTGTGTTTTCTGAGAAGGGTCATGCAGGCACCTTTACATGGGCCTATTGGGTTTATTTCCACAACCTTCAGGCAGGGGTGGATCTAGAAATTTTTAGATGGGGTGGCCAGGCTAGGGCACAGCCTCAGAGAAAGGTGGCACATTTGAAATACACATAAAAAGTCAAATAAACCCCTCATTATATGAAATAATAAACATTATTAACTATAAGAATCCAATTGTTTTTTTGTATAAAATTGACACACATGCTTTCTTCAGCTAACACTGGCTGTGCACCTTATTTAATTCCAGTCAGTGACGTTGCTGCTGCACAGTCATCCCTCCCACTGAGGTTAGTCATGTGAAGTACTACACAGCAACACAGATGGAGAATTTAATGCAAATATCATGTGGCATGCATGATATAAAATAAAACTAATTTGATTAGTATTAATTATAAAGCACCAGAAAAATGCTACTTATATTTGAGGCAACAATTTGCTATTTTTCATTAATTAATCCTGACAAGCATCACATTTTGATTCTGGGAGGGGTGGCACCAAGGGTGGCACCAGGGTGGCACCAGGGTGGCTGGTGCCACTCCCTTGGCTCCGCCCATGTTTTCAGGTCCTAAAGGACCTGGTCACACCATCATTTATAACAATGAAAATTCAGACAGAAACTAGTTAACTTCAGTGCTAGTCTGTGTGAAGTAAACACAATATGTTGCATCATATTAATTTTGAGGATAATATTTTAAGTTTGACTTTAAATTCTCTACAGCAACTTCTATTAGTTGAGGACTTTTAAAACTATGCCTCCATCTAATAATATATTCATTTTGCAGTTGGGATTAGGTGCCTTTGCTAAGGGAAGTGTAACAGAATTCTCTGAAAGCACACACACAGAGACATAAACCACAGGTCCTCACATCCTAAATCTGTATGGTGACAGAGGGATGACCATGACTTGTATTTTACATTCCAGCCAGATACGCTTCACAACCACTCTTTCATGCTACAGTTTTGCCAAACGCCTCTGAATGCCACGCTTAAGATAACATTTAGCAAATGTGAAGGTTTCACTCAAGGTGTCAGTTGGTCAGAGACAAGACAGAGCAGGAGAACTCTTGCTTCGCTGCGCACTAATGACGTTCAGACAAAGAAATACACTGACACATAAATGCAGATAAACATACTTGCAAAAAGACACACAGATGCGTGCATTTATTGTGACCAATATATCTTCCCACTATAATTAAATCTACAGGACACAACTAACGTTTTTGTAATTTGCCATTACAAAGCAAAGTATTTTTTCATTTTAAGAGACTGAGTAGTATTTTAAATTACTCTAGCAAGACATGAGAGGGATTTTCCAAGGTCTCAACTAACTTTGGAGTCTCCACATGTTTAAAAACAAAACTCCGACCATTTCTTTTCTCTATGTGTTTATTCTATGGTATCTGCGCAAATGGACTAATGTGAAGTATGTGATGAAATGAAATGGCAAAATGACAGCTCAGCCTGTTGTCACACAGCTTAACACTGAAGAAATTGTGGTCTGGGAGGCACATGATATAGTGTTTATTTTTCTGTGGGTGTGTGTGTGTGTGTGTGTGTGTGTGTGTGTTTTTGTACACACTGAGCTCACTGTGGGTGTGTGATAGATATAAAGTGCTCACAGCCTTATGTGTTTGTATGTGTGTGCATTTGTACATGTATCTGTGTTTAAAGTTCATGTGTCTGCATCTGGTGCATAAATGTGTGTGTGGTGCTGCAGCTCCATCTGGGCCAGCCTGTGTTTACCTTGGCCTGATCCCAGACCTTCATCACTTCTCTGCTGATAGCTCCATT